CTCGTCTACTACACGCCCGGGGACTACACACGTTCAAGTATCCAACTTCCCAATACAAAAAAACAGGATTAGTATCAGCAATAATTTCTAGTACTGCCTGGATAATTGCGTATTATTAGTTGACATCAGACATATCCCTATACAGGATCTTTTGAACAATGTCTCAAATTCCCGAAAGGATATTCAAATATGTTGCGATGAATATGACTTGAATATCCATCTTTTGAAAAATCAGCTAAACAGTTCATCACCACGTTTATCGTGAATTGGCGAGTTATCTTGTGGTGTTTTTCGTCAATGTATTAAATATAAGTGCGTTGGGAAATAGCATAATTATATTGCGTGACATCTTGAATTTTCAAGGTGAATGTTCCGGCGAAGCACTCCACTATGTAGAGGGAGGAATGTCCGAACGGAACAACACCGTGCAGGCGGACGATGATTGCGTGATTGAAAGAGGCTGGTGAGACTGTGTCACAACGCGTTCTATTTATTTCCAACGCGCGTTGTCGGCGCCTCTGATTGCGTTTATTTTGTATTTTTATTTTCAAAATGTATCACTGGCTGTGTTTTTGTTTGTTTTTTTATGTCTCGCAACTGAAAATCCAAGCTGACCTTGTGTTGGCTGTAATCAACCAACGGTAAAAGTGGATTCACGCAATCCTGTTGTTACATTGTACCACGGAACAGGGAGCTGCTGTAATGTAATTACAGCTCCCTGCACGGAGGTACTAACGGAAGGGGCCCCGACGCTATTGTTTTAGCTTTACCATATGATCGTTTGTGAATGTTTGTTCACAACATTGGTCTCGTTAGCTCTTAGCACCTTCTTACAATGGGTTATGCTCCCGGTTATGCTAATCTTGAGCATTCGGTAATATTCGGAGCATGGAGGTACTAACGGAAGGAGCCACAACGCCTCTCAAGTGGCCATTTGAGCCTCTTAAGTGGCTTATTTCCTTTTGTTTCAACCCAAGTTAATCCTGATAAAGACATTGTCTAGCTCATCTTTGATGTTGTTGATAGTTTGTGATTGCTTACACAAGTAACCAGTTAGCGGAATATGATATAACCTCGCCGATGTTTTAAAGTGACCATATAATATATGTCTAGACACTTTCTCTGCAATAATATTTGTTAGGAGTCCTTAGGATTTTTTGTTGTAGACTCTCGAAATCTTGTTCTTGTTACAGTTGCTAATAATTAAAACATGTGAAATCTGTGAAGTAACAAGTTCCTCTGTTGAATTTCCGGTTGTGAAATAGTATTTTAACCCTCCACAGCTAAACAAACCCAGTGCGCATGTGTGATGATCGTAGTTTCATAATGCGCATTTATTTTATTTTCGGCAGTTTTTAAAGTTATTTTTTTTAAATATGTTGGCGTAATTTTTCGGACATTTCAATCTTTCCTGAGGCCTAAAATAGTCTATTAAAGTTTTTATTCAAGAGCGTGTTTATTGTGACTAGCGTGAATGGGTAAGTTTTGTCTGGACAAAGAGCTGTAAACAATGTTAAATTATTCATCTAATGCTCAGTTCATCTTTTGAAAACAACTATTTTTTGATTTGAAAAAAAAAATCATGCCATTTTCCTATCAAAATCCAAGCCAAAAGA